CCCATGTGCAAGTGCTATGTTACTCGGCTTCTGCACTACTTTTGACTACCACTAATTGTTTATTACTCCTCCAGGTAACAAGAATACCCCAGCTAAAAGAACAATACCCCGAAGTTGACCGTCTATCAATGATGTTTCATGCCCAATCTGTATCCGAATATACTTCAGTATCACGATTCTCTATCTTTAAAAAGAATAGGCATTTCCTTGATGCCATCTTCAAGTTTCTAAGAATCATGTAGATTATTTCCATATGTTCTTATGTAGGACTGTGCATGAATTGACTTACAACACTTACTACCAAACCAACATCTAGAAAAGTGCGTGAAAGATAGATCAAACGTCCAACAAATCTTTGATTATCACCCACTATCTATTGAAGTACTTTCTTTCTCGGTGCCAAGTTTCTTTAGACTGTCCATAGAAGTATCAAAAGATTTGCATCCAAGCATACCGGTCTCCTTAAGAAAATCTAGAATATAATTTCTTTGAGAAACAATAATGCTTTTCTTGATCTAGCCACTTCCATTTTAAAAAAATATTTAAGATTTCTAAAATCTTTAACTTCAAACTCTTTTGACAACTACTTCAAATTTTGTAATTCCTCCACATCATTTACAAATAGAATAATAAGATCGGCATAGAGTATCAAATATTAATATAACAATTTTTCCAACGTGAGATTTCTTAACAAACAGAATATGATTAGCTTGACACTCTATGTAGACTACGCTTCAAAATAGCCTTTGTGAATCTATCAAACCAAGATCGGAGATATTGTTTAAGGTCGTACAATAACTTCTTGAGTTTGCAAACCTGATTCTCTGCCATCCTTTTTTCAATACCATGTGGGATTTTCATGTAGACTTCCTCTTCGAGGTCACCATTTAGAAAGACATTTTCTATATCTCTTGTTGCAAATACCAATCTTGGTTGACAACCAATGAAAAAAGAATTTTGATAGAGTTTATGCTTTATAACATGAGCAAAAATTTCTTGATAGTCTATCCCATAGGATTGTGTAAATCCTCTAGCCACCAGCAGAGCCTTGAACCTATCAACTCATCCATCCATTTTATACTTTATAGTAAAAATCCACTTGTACCCCAAGGGCCTTTTCCCAGCCAATAAATTAGTAATAGTCAATGTTCCACTCTTCTCAAGTTCATCAATATCATCTTGTACTGCCTTCTTCTACTCTGAATTTTGTAATAACTCTTGTATTATATTAAGAGCCTAAATATCATCAAGAGAAGTAGCAAATGCTCTGTAAGATAGTGATAACCCGTCATAAGTAATATAATTCCCAATTGGATGACCTATACATCTCCTAATATCCTTCTTCAATGTGATTGGCATAGTAAATTCATCAATGCTAGGAATCGACACATCTCTAGCCTTATCCATACTTATGTTTTCTTTAGGTGGATTTCAAATTGAGTTAATATTTTGGTTACCTGTTGGTTCTGATCCGTGTTGTAGCTCCTACCTTTCCTTCCTCCTGATGTAGACTTGAAAATTCTCATTAGCAAGTTAAGGAGCAACAAATTGAGCAAGCACGGGAGAAGAAATATTTGTGGGTTCGACTGATGACTAAACAAGCATGGGTGTGGATAAGTCTTGTGTACGGTCTTTAGGCACAATATGGGTTTAGAAGAACTTGGTGACTCTGAGTGGGCAAAGGCCATAAACTCAAGAAAGAACTCCCAAACTTGATATTCATTCATACTCTGCACCCGAACATGAGATTTTGGATAGAAGGACATGTGTTCAAAGAAAGAAACATCCATGGTAGTGTAAAATCTATTGTTGGTTGAAGAATAACATTTATAGCCTTTTTTTAATTGGAGATTACCATAGAAAAATACACGTATTGGCTCTAGGATCAAATTTGCTATTATAATGTTGAGGATACACATGAACAAATGTCATGCCACCAAATTGGATAGAAGTACATGTGTTCAAATAGGAAGCAGTGAGACCAGCTTCCCCTATAAATAATTTGGAACATTAGAGAAAAGCATAAGACACCGAGCAACCTACAAATGTTTATTCTTGTGTTCATCCAACCCATTTTGTTGAGGGGCATCAACACAAAAACTTTTGTGGATAATCTCATGATTCCGAAGATAGGCATTGAGCCTGTTAGTGAAGTATTCCCTAGAATTATCTAACTTGAGTACCTAAATTCTAGTTATTTATAGCTTCAGGCAAGGAAAAAATCATTTTGATTTGATTTCATAAAATAGGCAAATAATAACCATTATGACCCAAATCAACATGGATCACGAACCATGGTTTAAAATTGCGCAATATGAGGCTCGCCTTGAGGCCTGCCTTTGCGCAATTCCAATAAAAAACGCCTCGATGCTTACGCCTCAAGTCTTTTTTATGAGGCTTGCGCCTCAACTTGGTTGAGGCCCGCCTCGCCTCACTGGCATGAGGCTTACGCCTCACGCTATATATATTAAAACTCACATAAATCTTGAAGTAAATGCCCGACATTGGACTCTATAGGAGAGGAGGAAGGGGAGAGAGTCGTTCATCATAATGATGATTCAAACGAAGAACCCCTTAGTGATGACAGTGCTGATGACTTATGAGTTCTTATGTGATATGTCATTACTATTTATTTTTGAAAATTGGAATTATATGTTAATGAAAAGATTACTGGGATTTGGATAAGATAGAATTTTGAGTTGAACTACATTTCATGTTGTCTTATTATTGGGATATTTTGATTTCACTTCATATCGTATGCTTTTTTTATGTTTTATATTATTCACTCATTAGTATATAAAAAATTTATCATTTTATGTTTACACAATCTTTTGATTTTGAGGCTTACGCCTCGCCTCACGAATGAAAAACGCCTCAATACCCGAATACGCAATTTTAAACATTGTCACGAACTATAAATAAGGAACTTTCCTAAAATGAATACTAACACTAGCAATCCCCCACAAGTCAGAGCAAATATATTAATTAATATCAGTTTATAACATAGTTTTGAAAAAAAAAAAGGTGGACACAATGTTTGGATGAATATCTACGAACTGTTATAAGTTATCTACTAGCCATAGTCTAAAATTGCGCAATAAGAGATGCGCCTCTGTACAATTTTACCCCCAAGAGCCTCATTGCTTAAACGATTTTGGGGCTAGGTGAGGCTTACGCCTCAGGATCCATGAGGCGCGCCTAAGAGGCCCAATTGTGCAATAATGGGTGAGGCGTACGCCTCATGGAGCCGAGTCCCACTCACTTAAGTTCTTAATAAAAAAAACCTCTATTTCTTCCCTTCCTTCAATCGACCTACCCGAACCGAACGGATGAGAGTTCCACAAACCACAGTTCGTGCCCTAGCTTCCTTTGGTGGCCTTCCCGCTGGCGCCGCCTTATGTCGATGAGCATCTTATGTCCGGCCGCCCATTACGACACCTCTACAATCGATTTTAGTTTTTTTTTTTTTTTTTAATTCAAGGTATGATTTTCAAGTTATAAAAATCTATGGTTTAAAAAAAATTCGATTTTTTGTTTGATTTTGTATTTCTGCATTAAAAAACATGGTTAGGGACAAGGAAAAGTCAAATACGTCATTGCGGAAGAACCCTTCTTGAAAGTGCAGTGTACACGTTGACGTAGGCGGCGGCGAGAATACATACGTGTATTTGAAATGCAATTTTTGTGATAAGGTGGTGAAGGGAGGAGTTACCCGCATGAAGGAACACTTATCCGGCTCACATAAAAACATAGCACCTTGTTCGAATGTGCCAGATAAGGTGGAGGAAATTACTGCTTACAGATTTGTCATTATCAGACCTGCAGCTAGAGGATCTAAGTGTGGATGTCTTGAAGGGCGAAGCAGATCAAGCAGGCACATCCACTAGCACCACACCACACACATCCACTAGCACTGCAGCACAATACGTAAATAAAGGTATCTCACAATTTCTTATGTGCTATTACATTTAAAATATATGCAATTAACATCACACTAATCATTCTTATTGAATAGGAAAGAGAAAAGTGGGTAACATTGAAGATGATGAAGATATGGTCTTCATAGATACAATTGGAGATGAAGATGCCTCCCTTGAAGACCCATTTAGTGATGGGATATGATTGAATTTTAGAAGCTCTTTCTTATTTGTACTTTGGGAGTTTTGATAGATTTTAATTTGTGGTTTTGCATTTTGAATTATGCTATGAGATGCATATATTGCATCTACTTTATTATTTTCCACTAAGTTCACTTCTTATTTAGATGTTTTTATTGTATCATAGACTCTTACTGTTATTTACCTGCTAGAATACTTAAATTCTCATTTACGTAATTCTTCGTCTATGAGGCTTACGCCTCACACCGCCTCGAGGCTTACACCTTACCTCACGGACGAAAAATGCCTTAAAGTTTATTTACGCAATTTTAAACCTTGCTACTAGCTATTGTGAGCGAGAAAAATAAAAGGCAACAATCTTCTTTGATGGAAAAGCATCGTCAATAGCATGACTAGCCAAACCTAATATGTTAGATTCTTTTTTTAATATGTGATTACTAGCAATATGAATATCATAATTTAAAGACATGGGGTTGTCTGGTAGAAAAACCAAATTCCCTTAGCATGAAAACTTTAAGGACATGGTAGTGGTATGGTTGAAAAATCAAATCCCCTTAGAAGGGTATTAACCTACATCATTTCACATGTAGATCATATCATGGCATTGTATTCAACCTCAACGCTTGATCTGGCCACCATATTTATTTCTTAGGCTATATTTGATATAGTTGTTGATATTTGAAATGCCAAGTGAAAACTTTTGTTGAAAAAAACAAAGGTGAAATTTATTATTGAAAAGTTACAGATTTTTTTTGTACACCTATCGTTGATATACTGTTTCAAGCTTAGAAGTTCATTTTACCCCTTCGTTGCTCCAAGTTCTTTAAATGATCCATGCTGCCAAAGCCTTGGTTCGAAGTCCTTTGTCAACCCTCTAACAACTGCCCTTGATGGGATTCACACCACTAGACGATAACACCACTTTTTTCTTGCAGTCAGCCTCATAAAATTGACATCCTTCTCCAGCGGTGCTAAGATCATTGATGCATGTCAATGACAACTCTTGCTATTAAGAGGCAAGTTGAATATGTTAAACAGAGACTGCAAGTGAGCTCCTGTGGCCACATTTCTATTGTTCCACATAGGGGTGTTAATATTTGACACGACCCGAAAACCCGACCCGAACCCGACCCAAAAATTTCGGGTTAGGGTCAACCCGAACCCGAATTGGGTCGGGTTCGGGTTCAGCATTTCGACCCGTTTCAAAAATCGGGTCGGGTTCGGGTTAACCCTTTGACCCGAAAGTGACCCGATTTTGACCCGAAAACCCGATTTTGACCCGGCAACCCGAGATTGACCCGTTTTTTTACCCGAAAAGAGGAGATTGACCCGTTTTTTACCCGAAAATTAGCCATTTTCTTGTTGGAAACGGGTCATTCGGGTCGTTTCGGGTTGACCAGGACCCGAAGCGGGTCGGTTCGGGTCAGGAAAACTGACCCGTTTTTAAAAACGGGTCGGGTTCGGGTTGACCCGAATAGTGCCGGGTCAGTTTCGGGTTCGACCCGAACCCGACCCGTGACCCGAAATTGACACCCCTAGTTCCACATGTGAATTTCTAAATACATTCAAGAAATGCAATCCAAACAATACATACGAAATCATAAATGTATTTTTTAAACACCACACTGGAAAAAGCTGCTTCTAAACAAAATTTTACTTTCCTATTTAACCAAGTAATTTCATACAAATATATTACACCTGGATGTGGGTTTTCTATCATCAAATCTAGTATAATTAGCCAGAGAAAAAGCATAAACATTAAAAATGCTCATTCTTAGTGTATGGTAGCACTTTCCCTTGGGACTTCACAATAAATGCTTTTCGATATTTCTGTTTAAGAGTTTACTAGTGATGACTAATAACTCCTAAAACAAAAGGTATGCAGTTCTATTGATAGTAAGATCAATTTACCAACCATCAATTTACGAGAAACATTCTAATAAATTTGGAGGATGTACCCTAGTGTATGCTTTTTGCTAATGATATTCTTCTTGTTGATAAGACTAGAGAGGGAGTTGAAGGTAAACTTGAATTATAGAGGTCAACCTTAGAGTCTAAAGGTTTTCGTTTGAGTAGATCTACAACCGAATATATGGAGTGTAATTTTAGTATTAATATATCTAGAAGGGGGATTGTGATTTTGGGCGATCAAGTCATTAATAAGAGTACACCTTTTAGATATCTTGGGTCTACTAGAGTGATGGTGAAATAGATAGGGATATTATTAGTAGAATTCAAGTTGGATGATTGAAGTGGATGAATGCATCGGGCTTATTATGTGATATAAAAGTACCCCTCAAACTTAAGGGAAAATTCAAAATTCTATAAGATGGTGGTGCGCCTTCAATGCTTTATGGTGCAGAATGTTGGTCATTAAAAGATAAACATAATATTAAGTGTTGAAGAAATGAGAATACTTAGGTGGATGAGTGGCTTTACTCTTATGATAGGATATAAAATGAGCATATACGTGAAAAGTTTGGAGTAGCTCCAGTGGCAGATAAGAATAGAGAGAGTCACCTTAGATGATTTGTGCACATAAAATGACAGCCTTCCGATGACCCGGTTAGGAGAGTAGATGTATTAGATTTGTCTTATATTAAGAAAGATAGAGGTAGACCTAAGAAAACTTGGTTAAAAAATATTAGAATTGACATTTTTTTATTAAATTTAAATGAGAATTTGACTCTTAACAAGGCACAATGGAGAAAAAGGATTTATGTAGCCGACCCCACATAGTGGGACAAAGGCTTAATGTTGTCGTTGTTGTTGTATTCTAATAAATCTCTTTTCAATAATAATATTTAGAGTGCCAACGAGAAGGTCAATAGATTTGCAATTAAAAGATAAGTCCATTCTAGACGATTGAAAACATTTATTTCGAGCAAAGTAATAACCAACTTTATTACATGCAAATTCAATTCCAAAAAAAAAAAATATTTCAGACAACACAAATCTTTAGTCAACAAATATTTTTAAAAATAAAGTTTCACTTCAATAAATCTCAATTTGATCACATGTAAAAAAATATCATTTACAAAAACAGCCAATATAACAAATTAAGATAAATATGCATGACAAAGATAGAATGATCTATAGTGATATAAAGCCCAAACTCAACAAAAGTTTTGCAAAACTTATCGAACCAAACTCGAAGGCTTTGCTTAAGTCTATAAATAGCCTTTAAAGCAATATATATATATATATATATATATATATATCTATGTGTGTGGTCCATATAAATAACTTTAGTAAAGTCACATTCAATTGTTAAATTACTCACATTCAATTGTAATAACAATCAACCACGATCGATAGCCACAATAAAATAATTAAGATGGAATTGTGATGTAGAACGGGAAGGAGGATTTGTTCTGGAGAGGGTCTCCTCTCCAAAATCTGTAATTTTTTTCCTTGCAAAGTCTGGATTTATCTCAGAAATTTCTAATCGTCTTGAAGAGCAAATCGTTCCAAGAATCTGAAACAATTCTTTACTGGAAATCCCAACCTTTTCAGATTTTCCTCACAAAATCTGATGGGAATTCCAGCATTTTTTTCCACAAAATCTGAGAAGAAAATCAGCATGTAACAAGCAGAGGAAAAGAGGGAGAGGGGAGAACTGCTGCGGCTGGATCCAAGGGAGGCTGAGGGAAATTTGACTCCTTGAAGCCGTGAAATGAATTAGGAAAAAAAATAAAATAGAAAATGGTCCAGGGAGAATTCGACTACATCTGAAATTTCCTTAATACACTCTCAGTTTTTGGGAAGGAAATTAATGGCTTGGGCTTTGGGAAATTTCGGCTGGCAAAGAGAGCCAAATTTCTAAGATGCTTAGTAATAACTTAGGAAATAAATCCTAGTAATCCTCACAGGGGGGCGGTGGTTTTCAAATTCAGCAAGGGAATTTAATGCTCTCATATTTGAATTTCAAATATAAAATTCAATTGGATTTAGAATTCAAATGAATTTAAATTAGATTGCATGAATGACTTTCTTAAAATAGAAGTTGAAAATTAGGAAATCTTTGAATGTCAAACTGAATGTGGAGATTTAAGGCTCATTGATTTGCCTTCAGGAATTTTCAAAATCATGAAATTAATTTCAGTTTTAATTTAAATTGGGGGGAACTTAATTTGAAATTTGATTTCAAATTAAGAGGCCATTAATGCTTTAATTGAGGAATTAATGGGAGGAAAGCCCCATGGTGGCCGGCGGCATGTAGAGAGAGAGGGAATGTGGGGATGAGGTGTCATGCTTGCATAACTATAAATTTAGGATTAGGAAAGTAATTAAACAAATCCAATTGAATTTGAAATTCAAAAGAACTGATTTAAGAACTTTCCAAAAATAGAATGACAAATTAGGAAAGATTTCAAATTCAAATTTGTTGGATTTGAATTTCGAAAATCTGTCCAAAGATTAAATTACCCAAATTAGGCAAGGATTTCAATGGGGAGAAGGGGGTGGAAGGTGGCCGATGGCTAGAGCTTGGGCCGGCGGTATGAGGGGTTGGGTGGAGTGTCGGCCGTGGGTTAAGGAGGTGGAGCTAGGGGAATACTTGGGTGGATGAAGAGGAGATGAAGGAGATGAACAAAAATATACGAGAAAGATAGAGATAACTAACGAACTCACAAAGAGATCGTAAGAACCGCGAACCTCGGACTCTTCTAAAGATTGACGGGTATTGCGAATTACCCTCCTCGGGCTTCTCCTCTCATGACTCACTAAGAGATCACGTGATATTGAACTCACAAAGAGAACAAAACATAAGAAAAATTTTCATTTCAATCATCATCCTATTACAATAGCTAAAGGCCATATATATAGGCCACAACATGAGAAAAATAAAAATTACAAAATTGCCCCTTGGGCCATAACACTCACATAAACTATCCTAGGGGTAAAACAGGAAATACCTTAATTAAGAACTAAAATGCAGAAAATAACTCATAATTTAAAATTTAAATAATGGCCGTCGATTTACGACGACGCCTGTGATAGATGCGCCAAATCTTCGTACTGATGTCCGCATCAAATTGACCATAGAAATTAAGGATCATGCATAAAATTAGTTGATCAGATAAACTTGAGCAAAGTCCTTGGTACAAGGCAAGCTTTGGATTAATCGATAGATCCACCATGATGAATTTTTTGGTGTAAATCCATGAATATGGAATTGACTTAATGTAAGGATGGGTAACCAAATCTTATTTGTTTTGATTTAACAAGCAATCATTTCAATGTCCTCAGCCTATCTCTATTCAAGATCCTATATTGCTTTGCGGTAAGCCCTGAGAATACAAACTAGTGAAAAGGATAATACAAAATGTTAAAAACTAGATGAAAGATTATTTAAAACATATATATACAAAACTAAATTGCCATTAACGTTTTTATATGGCAATGGATGAATGGAGATTAGATACATCTATAGGAGATGGAGGCTTACCCGATTAGGACAATGTGGATGGAGTTGTAAGAAGAGGATGGCATGAACATGTTTAAGCCTTTAAAAGGGGAGAGATGAATATAAACACTTCAAGAGGAAGAGGAACATGTAGAGAGAATGGTACCAAGAAAAATGATGATGAATAATAAGGAAAGGACTCGAGAAAGAAAATATTTGCATAAGTATTTATGCATTTGGTAAGTGAGTTATAACATCAATGGCCTTTCTAAAAATGAGAACCCAAAAAATTAATACATCGAATAGCCCGAAAAGAGGGTTTGTCACCAAGTAATGGTGGAAGATAAAAGGATCTCATGCATCAAGGGGTAAACTAAACCAACTTCAACACCAATATCAATCATCTTTCTTGTATTGAGATCCAAGAAAAAAATTATAATGAAAATAATGAAAGGTTATAGAGCAGTTATGAATTTTAGTCAGATAATGAATGAATAATGCAATGATTGAAAATTTGGGAGGCAAACAATTAGTTTCATGAAGTTGAACTAGCTGAGCCTAATGCTTTTCAAAAAGGGCAAAATTAGAAGCACCATTAATAGTCACAGGATCCAAATGCGTGTTGTGCAATGGAAGTCTGCCCAAAGTTGGCCCAGAAATGCTCTAAAAACTAATTAGTATGACCACTGTAAGAATAAAGGGGGAAGGTCTTTCTCCAATGGCCATGACCAATGTTAGTACCACCACCACCATGATGCCTCGTAGCAAGAGCATGCCTGTCAGAAACTGGCAAAGATGTTGTCAAAAGCTTTATAATTCAAAGAATATTTGAGAGAGAGACCAAATTATTGGGGATTGCAAAATCTATCATTAACAAAAATTATAAATGTTGCAACGAGGGATGATGATCAGAGAGAAATTTGGTAATAAAAATAAGGGATTTTTACATACATACCACTTTATAACTTGTGTATTACATATTAAACACATAATTCTTAAATATTGCACTCCTACCACATATTCTCTATTTTCACAACAAAATTACCACTCTGTTGAAATAAAACCTCACTCTGTCTCTTTCATTCGGCAAGCCCTAACCACCGCGAAATCCTCTTCTCTCTCGAGCTGTGCGGCTCTTCTCTCGCGGGCTGTAGATCTTCGCCGATCTTCCTCTCGCGGGCTGCAGAAGCCGATTAATGTGGTTTACTTCATGAGGAAAGAAGCACAAGGTATACCAGAAGCCAATTTTGCCTTTACAGATGTAATACATAGCTCATTGGTTGCAGAAAGCAAGCCCTTTGCAGCAGCTTCCATCTTAATCTGTGATAGCTTCCATTCTTTTCCACAAGGAATACCAAAGAAGAGTAGAAACTCATGTGCAAAAGAGTGATATTGTACATTCTTATTTGACTTAAATATTTCGAATCAGAAACGGTGGAAACAACAAATTTATTTTGACTTGCTGCTGGGAAGTTTCGGTTAACAAAAACAAAAAGTAAGCTGAAAAAGACAAAGGATTAAACTGCAGGTCTCAGATCATTCAATATCATTCACCATGGAAATAAGCTCATAGTTCAATGGTTTACGAAACTGCAGGTCACAGAGCTTTCACAACGAAACTGCAGCACAAGTTTTGGTAAAACAGATCGGGAAGGAAAGTTAGCTCTCATGGAAGAGCAGCTACGGTGGAAGAGCAGATACGGAGGGATTCAATCTGGAGAAAATCGCGATGATACACGCTCGGACAGAGCAGCTGACGCTGGAAAAAACCTGTTCTCCAGCGGAAAGCCCACGCGGGAAGGAAGAGAAAACGGAGTGAGGTATCGCTGTTAACGGAGTGGTAATTTTGTTGTGAAAATATAGAATAGGTGGCAGGAGTAATATTTAAGAATTAGGTGTTAAATATGTAATACACAAGTTATAAAGTGGTATGTATGTAAAAATCCCTAAAAATAATTGATCATGCTTCTATCAAACTGCAAAAGTAAAGGATCTATACTATAGAATTTCTTCTCATTTAGCTCACAAGGTGCTGTAGTACTTCCTGAATGGGCAATTTATGATATTGAAAAGAGAGGATATCGGATTTGGCATCTAGATATAAACTATTACTTCAATAAAAATAAGCAGAGTGAAGAAAGTCTCATGTCTTATAATATCTTGAAACATGATATTTGAGGCAACAAAAGATTTAAGACAATTGAGAGAGCATGTGAGAATGGTGTAATAAGATTGCCATTTTGAAACTTTTGACACTGCTATCACATTCTAAGGAACGAACATTAAGGTGATGGATTTTGTCAAATGAATCGACAAAAAGCGATTGGCCATATGATATTAGTACCATTGAATTTCACAATTACACCCAAAAACGGATGAGGCTTTGAAGTCATTGAGAGAAAATTGAGATGCTAGGACACTGGTGAGAGTGTGAAGAATAGGAAAGATAAATCATGATAACAAGATAGTCCAACAATGGCAAATTTTAATGCAGATGTGGCTAGGGCTAATGAGCTTTTGCAGGAGGATCCTAAAGAGAAGTAATAATTGAAGCCACTATTCAATGAGTAATGTGGTTGAAAGGCAGTGGGAGGAGCAAGTGAGACACAATGTGAGTTCAAGTGCATGCAAGCAGTAGGCAAAGGTGTGCATTTTGATGGGTGCAAAAGCTTGAAAGTGAGCGAGGTGCATGAGTAATGATCATGATGAACAATTAAAAAAAGGTGTAAGTGACAACAAGCAAAAGAGAGACGTTTAGGAAGAGGCATGAGCAAAGTATGGTTAACCCCGCTCTAATACCATATTGAGGGGAAAAAAAATTCTCTCTTATTCAGCAAAAGACTGAATATATTGCCGCAAAAGACACCCAAATAAATATGGTCTAGTAACTACAAATATAAGAACTTCCATAAGTCGACCTCCAACACTAACACCTATCATCTAATTCAAATTAAAAAACAAGATTAACTTAAAAGATATTTCCTACCTAATTTAAATTAAAAATATGCCAGATTTAAAATGAAATAAATACAAATTCATAATATGATCTAATAAGAAACTAATCGGGACTTGAGTCGAATCATGAATCTTGGTTTGGGCCTCTGTGTTGTATCAACTCCCAAAATGCAAGGAGAACTAGCTACTAGAAAATCAGAATTTTCATACTCTTCAAGTAGAACTCTACTTCAAAAGTTCAAATTGCCGTTCTCATCAAGTGTACTTGCCACCTTTTTAATAACTCATATATGGTCCAGAAATTTCAACAGAGGTTGATTATTACAAAGATATAAGTGCACGTGCAACCCATAAGCATCTATGATGGGGACATCAGATTTCGACACGTGTACCATCGCTGACGCCGGAGATCGACGGCCACGATCATGATCTGCATTTTCATCATTTTATGTAATAGTTTATTTTATTTTATGTTTTTCCGTTTTTTCCCTTATGGGTTTTCGGTCGCTATTGTAGCCCAAGGGGCATTTTAGTCTTTTATTTTCTTTGTCATTTGGTGGCCTATATATATGGCCCTTTTCTCATGTAATAGTTAGTTTTGATTGAAATGAAAATTATCCTCCTTTGTTCTCTTTGTGAGTGCACTTCCCTTTGATCTCTTAGTGAGTTCAAAGGGAGAACTAGATCTCTTCGTGAGTTCTAGATTTAATCCAAGCTTATTGTGGGAAGGTAGAATTGAGAAGAAATTCAAAGCAAGGGAAATCAACGTCGGAAGAAAATCTCATATTTCTTCAATTCTCCCTCTCTTCATCCTAGTGCCGCCGACCACCCTTGGGATCCAGCCAAGCCGCCGGCTTCACAGCCCAACCCGCCCCTGCCAAAATTTCCTCCCGCCGGCCCAGTCCCCACCCAGCCGCCGCCGGCCACTCCAGCCCATCGGTCCCCTCCCACCTTGCCGCCGCCCCCTATTTCCCTCCTATTTTAGATTTCAAAATTCTGAAACTTTGGAGTTTCATTGGCCATTAATGTTACCTAAATTGTCTCCTTAATTCAAGCAATCAAAATAAATTGAAATTGAATTTGAATTCAAAATTCAAATTCAATCCAATTGATTGTTTAATTAGGAAACCCCTTTCTATTTTAAAACTGAAATTTTAATTTCAGATTTGTGGTAAAATTCTGAAATCAATTGTGTGGTCCCCACTTGCTTAAAACTCCTCTTCCCTCTTCTCTCTCTTTGGCCGGCCCCTTCATTGGGCTTCTCTCTCTCCTAATCACCCTATTAACTCCACAAAATCAGCCCCAAATTCCCCTCTCTTTACCGCCCCTTCCACCTTTTAATTTAATTTGAATTTCAAATTAAATTCCCCCCATTAAAACCTCCCAAATTCTGGAATTAAATCAAAATTCCTGCATTCTACCTTGGGATCTCTACCACAATTAAATTCTCCTAGCTCAAACCCGTGCCCCTCTCTCCCTAACTCACGGCCTACTCTCCCACCATGCATGGCGAACCTCGAACTTGAATGGAGACTTGTGTTCGACGCTCTCGGCAACCCCCACATCCAACGATCGCCGTTCTTCGACGCAGGATTTGATTCCGACGACGATACCGTTGGAGCCTACTTAGATCGGATCCTACCGACTCTCATAATCGTCATCGACAAACAACGCCCCGACTCCGAGTGGATCATTGACGGTCGCCCACCCGCTCCTCCAAATTCGGCTTCTTTCCCGGCGACGAGTCCTCTCAAGATCACTTGTCTACTAGTAGCATCGCTAAGCCTACTTACGATTCTCCTCCGCTAGCTACCACTTTCAAAACGAGTGACGGACCTCAAGGTGAATGATCTAGATCTTAAACTTGGGGCTTTGTTATCATTAGCTATTTGTATTACTTAAATGTTTAGTTATTATTTTGCAAGTTACCATAATCTCTACATGTAATCTATTGTCATTGCTAAATCTTTCAACGTTAAATTCTTAACTCAATCTTGATCAAGCAAAGGGTTACTTATTAGCAAGATAAATTTCATCAATTTCATTAATTTCGCCAAGGCAATTCTTGTTCATTGCATGTTTGTTTCACATCAATCTATAGTGATCTCATCAGTAACGATCTATACAAACATTTCCAGTTTGATCAAAATGACAAATTGGAGGCACGATGATTTATGAATTGGCCAAAAATAGTGAATATTCATATGATAACTTTAATAAGGATTTTTTTTTTCAAAATGAAGTGATATTGAATATACACTGCCCTATCTTAAGAATTTTTAATGGTTAAAACAGCTCTTAGAGATTTAAACCTTTTCCATCATGTATTCGACGCTTTATAAGGCGCCCATCACCAAGCATATCACGCACCTGTCATTTCAAGATGACATCAAAAATATTAGGCCTGCTAGAAATGTAAAGATTGAATTCAACCATTTAAGCAAGGCACCAAAAAATATTTAAAATTTACTCAAATTTCTTTCATACAGGAAAGCAAGTCGGGCACAAAATAAGAAAATATCTCTTCATTACAAAAAAAGTTGGGATAAGATTGGACAATAGTAAGCTTATTCAGTTAGAAAAATAACCTTACCTGAGTAAAATGTGCAAGTTCCACTTCAAACTGAACCTCTACATGGCCTTCGGGAATTTGTATCAACGAAGAATTTGTCAAGTAGCTATCATTCACAAATATTACAGCTTTTTCTCTTTTGGCCATTGTTCCAATTCCCATCTCAAGCCCTTTTGGTATCTAAACTAAGCATATCAATATAAAAAATCATACAAATATAAAAAAAAAGAAAATCTAAATAACATTCAAGCTTCTCAATGGTCTATTAATCATTGCCACATCACAATGAGTAAAATATAACTTCAAATAGAAAGCACATAGATAAATTGCACAAGCAAATCAGGTTAGAAAATGATATACCAGGGCGGGCGAACTAAAAAATAAATAAATCGCAATGGAATTTAAAAAACTGATCAAACCTACCATCCAAGAAGGATCATATATTCAAAAAGGTTATGGTCAACCATGCTCAATATCTGGCATATACTATTGAAGATACTAAAGGACAAAAAAATTTGAAAAGAGAAAATTTTTTTACAAACCTCTGATTTGCCAAATGTAAAGTGATATGGATTGTTCATACGCGGCAGGATCATTTTGCCATCAGCTGCTTTGGCAGTTATCCTGAAGATAGAAGTACCATGATGGCCATGATGATAACATTTTCATCATACTACTGAGATACTTACTCAGCCATCAATGGCCTATCAGAGAAGAAAGAACAAATAAAAAATGCACATGGCTTACTAAATGAAGACAAACATACCAAGCTTCGACTTCATAAAGCTCTCTTGGACATTCCCATCCTTGTCCTTCGTCAATTATCTGGACCAAAAAAACTAAGTGAGGAAGATCCAAATAAACAATTGGCAGATAAAAAATTCATTGAGAATATTCTTCCACAAATCTTCATGGTTTGGAGAGAGTTGACTAATGATACAATCAACATTCAGAGTACAAGAGAAAAAATAAGATTGATGTTGGAATATATGCTACAAAATGAACACTTCCAGTCTTTCAGGGTAAAGGAAGCGTGCCCACATTGGTTACTGTGTATATACATTATAACCTAAAATTTTCAAAATGATGAGCTTAATTTTTCCCCAGATATCCAATTTTATAAAAAATAAAATAAAATAATTATTCCGTTATGTTCTACTAGTCAAACTAAGCAAATTGATATATAGAAGTATATGTTAATTTGCAAGAATGTAAAAGTTATTGAATTAACATCAATTTGCATTTTCTTTTTTTATAATGTTTCCTTTGCTATTTTAGTTAGAATATGATTTGAATGAAGAGGAAATACAATTCAGATAAAGTTCTATTTTTGTAGGTTTATCATAAATTAATTTCAAATTTAGGAATTATTTATAAATTTTAAAATCATTATTATTTAGGTTGTCTATAAAAAGAAAAGAGGTCGAGATATTCTAAGAGAGCAAATCTATCCTGTTAATAGAAAATGAGGTGAGATACCAAATCTTTAATACATGTAACAAATTTTTTAAAATCTAACTTTTATGGTATTTCTTTGTATTAATCATGAGATGAAATTATAAGATGAAAATTCTGGCAACAAGAAAAGTTTCAATTTTATGATAGCTTGTTCATAATGAGAAAAGTTATATTACGAGAGATAGGCCAGAAAATAATGACCTGCACAAGAAAAAGCGAAAGATCTCACAAAGTAAGCCTTAGTAGAAACCGTACCAATGGTATTTGACTCTCTCTTCTAAAAAGTTAGAATTTTTAGATCCAACCTTGAAAGGAGGGGCCATGAACGTACTAAAGTCCATACGCATCATATGACTTTTCTAAAATGGTGTACAACTGTACATGAATAAAATAAGATACAAGGGCGAAAATCTGTAATATTTCATAAAGTACATTGCACAGTTTTATGCATTGATCATTACAATTTATTTATTTCTTCAATTTTTAATTATAAATGTGTATCGCTTATGACTTTTATATTAGTTTGAAATATCAGCATACATGTTAATTGCGTCTCGTACTAGGATTATGCATTTCATTGAGCATTTAGCTTACTAGTTGATGGAGCTAGCGGGGCTTTAAACAGGAGTTTGGCTACCATGTATGCATAGTTGTTTTGGATGTTCAGTTTTGGGTGTAGATAGAAGACTTATCAGTAAGTTGTAGATTAAAGCTTTTGGATATAAAATTTTAAGATGACAGCCACCTTTTCTTCAAAAAGAGTTGGATGGGCAAAGTGCTTTAATGTTTAAAGCTGCAAAAGGATTATAAGTGCTTGATCACATCTAACATCATTGATATAGGGTGTTCAAGCTAAAGCTTGCACTGAAGAGCTAGAGAAGTTGCTCACCGGATGGACTGAGAGAGCAAGGAGGACATTTGGAATCCAAGCTTGATGCTAGAGTGCAATATGGCTTTGATTCTAATGTTGATGTTGTCGACGACCATGAGGGTTAGTGTTAAGGTGAGGAAGACCATCAACAAGGGCCAAGATAAGGAAGAGTGGTACTTGCAGCCACCATAATAACCCCTCCAAGGATCGGGCTGTCCAAGAAGGTTCTTGTGGGCTCCGAAAATTCGGCCCCGGTCTTCGCCCGCATTTGTTGCTTTTCTTTTCGGGGGGAGTTTTAACATAATTAAGTTCTGGGGTAAATTTTGGGAAGGCATATGGGTTTGTAGATAAGACACTACCCAAAGATTTCGTCCTCATTTTGTGAGGACTATGATCTGAGTTCTAGTTTCCTATAGGCGCAAGCCCCTATAGTTAATTACCCCTCCCAATAATGAGAAAGAACTTTCGATTAAGGCTAGTCGTCAATCAAATACGTAGTAAATACGTGTTATCTGGCATATAGTAGTAGCAAGGGCTTGGATTTGGGAATTTGGTTTGAATTTGGATATTTGGAAAGGTTTGATATTTAAATTGAAAAATTTCACCATCTTGCACTTAAAGCGGATGGTGAGGGAATGGATGATGGAACCAATCAAGATCCCATGGTTCCGTCGTCCCGGGCCATCATGGTCCCTGGTCTACTTAGTCAGAGGAGGTAGTCGACCTAACCTGACAGAAGGATCATTGTCGGCAGCCATGGATTGCTTCGTCCAAGGGTACCTTGTAGACCTGGGTTGAATGTTTGTCTAAAGGGACAAATTTGAATCCACCTTAGCTAACAGAGAGCTTTGTGCCCTATCGATCATATACTATTGATCCATATCTCAAGGATTTGATGTCACTAAGGAGCATATTAGCTCTGGCCATAACTGATATTTTGTGGTGCTATTTGGCGATAAAACCACTTGATTCAGAGAGCCTCGGGTCATAACCGTTTACCCTGCGGTGTCATTTGGCGGCAAAACCGCCGGTCAGATGATACGTACAACGTCCTTATTGGCAGAAGATTGTTTGAGAATGAATCCTAATGATATTTTCTACTAGGCATTAGCTCTTTGTGAGCTTAAATAGTTTTTAATTTGTCCACTCCGGCAAATTGTTGCAGAGGGTGGATGAATTTTGCTTTAAGTGTTCGATGGATTATTTTAATTTTAAATATTTTTGGAATTTGGGATTTTTTAGATTTTTTGGATTTTTATGGGTATTTGATCAAAGCTTGAAAAACATTTGAAAGTATTTGTGAACCCCTCCGGTTGAGATAAACTTTCAACACAGCCATCATCGGGGTGAAATTGGTTATTTATTTTTGTTGATTGAACCCTGTCAACTCTATCAGCTTGCTGATAAGGGATCGGGTTTCATAGGCTTTATGCATTTGTTAGTAAATTCTTTTGATTATAAGTCTTGAAGGCCTAATATGAATGTATTAAAACAAATATATTGGTCCCCTCAATCGTATATTTGTTTGACGGTTCAAACCATGTCTGCTCCTATTGATCCGTATAGAAGGATCGGGTTCGAACTTGAATTCACTTATTAACCCGCGCAGCATCCCTAGACGTCACATGTATACTTATAACACGCTCATCGAGGACCATGCGGGTTTTGATTACACTTACCTCTTTGTGCATCTATGTGTATACAAACTACAGTGTATGTGCAGGGATATTTTGAAATATTTTAGTTATGTAGGCAACTACCATTTGAATGCACCCAACTTTGATTTGAGAACTTATATACGCCTTCTATCTGCTAATACGAGTGTTACGGATCTGGTGTCGTGGCATTGTAGATTTAGATGCCTTCTGTCTGCTTTTATAAGTATTGCAAATCCGATGGCGTGGCGTAGCAGCTTCTGAATTGAGTTATTTGCTGCTTTATACAAGTAAATTGCATGCACTACTTGTTGCTTTCTATAGGTTGGTTATAGTGCACTAAGGAATCTCCTACTTTTGGATATAGGTTGTTAGAATTCACATAATTGGAGAGGGAAAAAGGATTCATAAAATTTGAGAAGTGTAAAAATACCTTCTACTTATTATACAAAATTATCCATATTTATAGATCTATACAAGATGTCTTAATAAAGAAATAAATAACTTCTAATAGATACATAATTGCCTCAATATAATCATTCTTAATTCAGCTACCCAAATATAGAAGGATATTGGCGTGATCCAAGTGAGCCTCCCACAGATCTCCATCCTTAGCCATGGGATCAAGGGCCAAAGGGATGGTTGGGATTTTAGCACTCCCCCTCAAGCTGGGGAAAACATATCAGTTATTCCCAGCTTGGTAATTAGTAGAATTATCAACTCTTTTAGTGTACCATAGTCCTTCATTTAGTCAAAACTTTGGGAGAATTAGCTTCAATGACAAATGATATCGATGAAGGCTATATCAATCAAGCCTGTAAGGGTAGCAATGAAGGCTACGTTGAACAATAGCCCTCAAGATACCGGAAATGGCAATAAAGGCCAGTCGTGGGACAACAGAGAGGGTGGATTAATTATCCTTTAGGTATGTCTCCTTCTCAATTCTCAAGGGAATGTCGGCAATGAAGGCACGATAATATATGACAAAATTCTAGCAATGAAGGCCGGAGGTGGGAACCTACATTTCTCATAATTCTAGCAATAAAGGTCGGTATAAGGACCAATATTCCTTATAATTCCGGCAATAAAGGCCGGTAGTGGGAACCTATATTCCTCAAAATTTTGGCCTTTTTTTTATAGTAATGAAGACTATCTATTTGATTCTGGACAGCAATAAAGGCTTCCAAAAAATAAAGATCCCTCTGATCTTTAGTTACGACAATAAAGAATTTTTTTTTTTTTGAAATAACCTTTCGGTTTAGTAGACCGAACCGAACTAAACCGAGCTTTAAAGGACTCGGATCGAGAGAAGCTAGGGCATGAAGCCTTTCTTTCGCACACGTGAGTCGAACGTGCTTCAATTCTTTGCAAGCTTCGTTCACCTCCATTTATGGCTTTGTTGCATCATAGGAGGTGTAGGCACACATCACTTCTTCAGCTCCTCAGTGGCTGTCCGACTACGCTCCTTTGACATCATTGCTGTTCGGCTTCGAATGCGTCACAGAAGATGCTTCTTCAGCTCCTTCGTGGTTGTTCGACTATGCTCCTTCGAAGACTTCTCCGTTCTGTCGGATCGGAAGTTACGATACTTCGATCAGTTCCTTCGTGGTTGTTCGACCGTTCGCAGGTAGTGCGAGAGTCGGATAGAGCTCCGTAGCCCTGCTCCCGTTCCTCCTGGTGCTGCCTCCTTCTGGTGTCGATTCCGCCTGGATGTTCGACTCCGCCTGGTGTCGACTCCGCTTGCTTGCGTTCGTCCGAATCGGAGGCAGCATCGACTGCATCTGGAAGCTCCAATTTCTTCTTCTTTTTTCTTTTCCTCATCCGACGATTCTACGATCGTT